CTATGGCTCCCAGTGTGGTCCCAGGGATAGCACTTCCCCTCCCAAGAATCCTGGGTCAGGCGGGGCAGTGAGTAGGGGACCTGTCCCCTCGGTCCCCAATCCCAGGGTTCAGACCTCCAGACCCCTCCAGCCCCAAGTCCACATGGGGCCCGCCACTGAGCCACCACTGACCCCAGGGGAGCCAGGCCAGCAAGGGACAAGGGTTCATTCATGGCTGACTCCCCTGACCAGGCTGCACTGGTACCTCCTTGTGCCCCTCCCTGGCACTGCTGCTGGTCCTCACTCCAGATCTGGGAAGATGGCTCACCACTCCCATTGTGCAGAGGAAACAAACAGCCGGGCTTTCTTTGGGTTAAGCATGGTGAGTGCATTGTAAAGCAGTGCCAACCGCTTCGGCCTGAAGAGCTGCCAGGGTGGGCAAGGCAGCTGGAGCTGGAGGATGAGGAGGGTCCCACAGGGATGGTCAGAGGGGGCTCCCTGAGGCGGAGACATCTGAACTGAGCCCTGAGTGAGGAATGAGAAGGTGGTGGCTATGTGCAGGGCTGGGGAAGAGACTTCTGAGTGGAAGGAAGCAGGGCAGGAGTCCTGAGGTGTAAAGAAGTTGCTGGCTACAAGACCCCCCCTTCCCCCAGGACAGGGACGGGACTGCTATCAGGGACAGAGCAAGAGGCTGGTGCAGGTGAGAAGGGGCAGCTGGTGGGGGCCACCCAGGCACTTAGCTGTGGTGAGTGGCTTGGACTTTACTCCAAGAGCATTGGGAAGCTAATGCAGGGTTTAATCAGGTGAGAGCTGTGATCTGATTTCTGTTTTAAAGGACCCCTTTGGCTGCTATATGAAGCCTGGACTGTGGGTTAGGATGGGGGTTAGAGGGTGAGGGAGGGGGCCCCTGGGGGGCTATTGCTGCTGTCTGGGTGAGAGATGGTGATAGTTTGGGCTTCAGGTGCTAACTGCAGAGAAGCTGGAAGATTTGGGATGTGTTCACAGAATAGCCTGGGGCCTGCCAATCCCTCCCTTGTCTTCATCTGTTGGACACCCTGTGGCCTTCAGAGTGCTGCTCAGTGGGCTCTCCCTCACAGCCGGGGCTGGGGCTGGGACACCTTGGTGACAGGAGCTTCTCCTGCCAGCTCCTGCTTCAGGTCTCTGTCTCCTCCACTCAGTCGGGCACTCCCAGGGGCAGAGCCTGGTACCCAGCCTGGTGCGAAATTCTCTCCTAACAGGCTTCACTCCAGCCAGAGCTGGCGCTCAACACCAATCACTAACGTGTCCCAGCAAGGCCCACGGCTCACCCTGTGGTGTGTGGAGGCCGGTGGGTGCTCCTGCACCTACTCATCTCTGCAAAGTGCCTTGGACAGGCTGGCCATGCGTCAGCAGCACTTCCTTCCTCTGCTGGAACCTTGTCATACCCTCACCTCCTACTCCCCCAGGCACACTCTGGACCTGCTGGGAGCCCCAACATGAGTCCACTGCCTGAGTGAGGCTCTTTCCACTGGACCTGATACCTGACGCCTGACCTCCTGGCTTGGGGCATGCCCAGGGACCTGGATGGCTGTGGAGACCAGGGACAAGGAAACATGACCCCAAGTCTGCCAACAGCCAAAACCCCCTCTGCCTTTTTATTTAAATTGAGATGTAATTCACATATAAAATACACTGTCTTAAAGGGTATATAATTCATTGGCTTTTGGTATATTCATAAGATTGTGCAACTGCCACACTATGTAATTCCAGAACATATTCATCACCCCAGAAAGTATCCCCATATCCATTAGCAGTCACGCCCTGCCCCCTCTTCCGTCAGCCCCTGGCAAGCACTAATCCTCTGTCTCTATGGATGTGTTTATTCTGGATATTTCATCAAAATCGCAAAAGGCTCAGTATCTGTCCAAGCTACAGACTCCACGTAGAGCTCATAGGAGCCACAGAGCAATGCTGCCTCATATCATTTTTGGATATGACCAGACTGACTATGCTGTCGTGTGCACCCAGGAGCCTGAGTTTGCCTAAGGAATAATGCCTTACTCATCCCAGAATCTCCCCCAAAGTACAGCCTAGGATCAGCTCACTATCCTCCTGCTCATTGCCTCCGCCGACTCTCAGGTCTCAGGGCAGAGAAGAGAAAACAAAACCAAACCGAAGCTCAGGCAACACAATAAGACCCCATTGCTACAAAAAACAAAAACAAACTTAGCCAGGCATGGCAGTGCCTACCTGTAGTCCCAGCTACTCAGGAGGCTGAGGTGGGAGGACTGTTTGAGCCCAGTGAGTTCGAGGCTGCAGTGAGCCAAGATCATACCACTGCACTCCAGCGTGGGCAACAGAGTGAGACCCTGTCTCTTAAAAAACACAAAAACAAAACAAAAAAAACCTACATTAGTTGCCTGACAGTGTTCATGGAATGAACTTTGACCTAATTTCTTCTTCCTCAAACAAGCTTAAAAGAAGCCTACTACCAAAAGAAGGAACCTTTTTGGAAGAAAAAAAAAGTGTCCTGTGGCAGTTGGCTGTGGGGTGGTCATTCAGCCATTCAGCCCATTGCTCCCAGCGAGGTTCGAGCTGGGCTGTTTTGAGGTCTCTAACACAGCAGCCGCATGGGCATCCCACACATGGGCAGAGCAGTCCCTGGTACAGGCTTTTCCTGCTCTCGAGGGAAGTCCAGTGACTGGCCTCGGGCATCTCAGCGTAAGTGTTGACCACATGGATGCCCTCAGAGAGGGCTGGGCAAAGGGCAAGGGAGCCTGGATCTAAGGCCTGTGGCAGGGCCTGAACAGCAAGCCGTCTGTCCTTCAAATATGGGCTTGGGAAAGTGACCAGCTTTGGAAAAATTTTCCAAAGGCAGCTTTTCCTCAGGGCCCTTGCAAGGGTCTCCTGACCCAAGATAAGAGGATCATTCCTGGTTCCAGACACAGAAACCTTGAATCCAATGATAAATGTGCTTCTAAAATGTGGGGGTGGATCCACTTTGCTTGGTAAAACCCAACCACATTTTAAATGCCCACACGTCTTCAGGTAAGGCAAGCAAATACTCTGACTTGCTATGTATTTGTAAATGGCAGGTTTGCTGAAAGAGGTTCACCTAAATTCACATACATCTTCCTCACCCAGTGTCACTCCAACTGAGACCTCTGCCTCTGTCCTTTTCTGTAGCCCCACAGAGCAGCTGAGGCCAGGACACAGAGAGTCAGTGTCAGAGCCCATCCTCCTCCTCCTGTGTGCCTAGAACCCAGATGGTGGGGAGGAGCGCAAGGGGGTTTGTACCTACAGGAGCGGGTGTGATGCATACAAATGCATCTGCTGTAGCTTAAGAAAGACCGAAAGGTGAAAAATAAATGACCCAGGCCCGTGGTACTGTGCCTCCCCGACTATCCTGACTGTTAGAGGCTACTCTTGACCTGTGTTACCAGTGGACACCAAACAGTCCCATCACCCTTCCCCCGACAGCAGAACGAGGCCCTCCCTGCTCTGGATACTCTCCCAGCACTTGCCCACACCACGAGATGAGCTCCAAAAGGATGCCTTTTCCCTGTGCTACTGTGGAGCCCCGGGAGGATGAAGTGGAGCCTTGGGCCTAGGCCTTTTGTCTAATCATGGTCCCATGGTGACCCTGGCCCCCATGGAAGCACCTCACCTGCTGGAAGTCTGGCACTGGTGGCTTATGTCAACCTGGTCCCAAATCTAAGGGTTTGCATCTTGCAGGGATCCAAAATGCATCTTTGTTAAGCATGGGCTCATGCGGAGTGAGTTCTCTGGGTACAGTCACTGCATCGGGGGGAAGACTAACGGGCAAGCCCCTCACCTCACAGACTTGGAAGGAAGTGAACCACCTCATACACCAAGCCGCCACAGAGCAGAAAGTTGGATACAGAGACTACTCGGAAAACATGCTCATTTTGCGGATGAGGAAATAGGGGCCCAAAGGGCAAGAAGTTCATTTTTAGAGCCAGCCATACAACAGGTTTTCTAGCCTGGGCTTCTGGAGAGAAGCTGGATGTCTTCTCACTCCCACCAGCCCAGCATGCAGCAGCTCTCAGAACCACCCTCTTCACTCTTGGTCTGAAACAGCCTAGCAGTTACTCTCCCCTCTCTCTGGTGACCATACCGTAGCCATGTGAGCCTTCAGCCTGCCAGCCCCACCTGCACTGGGGTTACATCTGCACCCAACACTCGCTCACCAGTCATCCAAACCTTCCACGTACCCTCACCCCAACTTGGGCCAACTGAGAAAAGCGTGAACACAAACAGGGATTTCTTTAAAAGAGCAGCTGTACTGTTCCAAAGCACTCAGAATAGGCTCTTCACACTAAGGTCATCTGCGCCAACAGGCATGGTTTGTAATGATCATGAAATATTTTCAAAGCATTGGGTACTTAAAAATATTCAATTCAGAATTCATTAAACTGGTCCCTTCTCAACATCACTGATTTGTGGCACCTTTGCCAACCCTTCCTGGTGTGTCTGAGACCAAGCCAGTTTCCTAAGAACCCACTTTCCACACATGGTGTTCAGGGTCCTTCTTTGGCGAGGGTGCACTCACACCAGTAAGGACACAGTACAGCACGTTTCTTCTGTACAACCAGGGGACCTGAGCAGATAAGTTTTGCCCATTCCTCCAAGCACCGAGGAGGCTCAGGGTTTCCTGAGCTAGTTAGAAAGTTAAATGCAAAGCTCTGAGCTGAGATCAGAGCAGCGAGGAGAGAGGGTGGTCTCAGCTCAAAAGTTAGAAGACCCCACCCTGGCATCACCCAGCACCAGGACAGAGCCTGCAACTGCTTATGAGCAAGCTAGGAAGACAAAAGCCAAGAGCCAGAGGGCAGGGGGGTGCCCCAGGGCAGCCCCTCCTTTCTTCAGCAAAGTTCTCCTTTTGGTTCGGATCCCACTGGGTGTGTATGGGAAAAAAGACCAACACAGGAGTCTCGTCTGTTTTGTTCCAGGCAGAAGCCTCTTGCCTACCTGGTCAAGGAGGTTGCAAGCAGAGGGCGGCACTGGCTGCTGGGGCCACTTACCAGCGGGGGCTGCGGCTGGGGGTGCTGCCCTGCTCCCGAGGCGGGTGGGTAGTGCATGAGCAGATTGAAGGCGGAGTAGACGGTCTCTTTGTACATGCCGCTGGCGCACTCCGGGGCCTTCAGGCCTGGAAAAACCACAGCTGGGTCAGACACACCAGCCCTGGCGGCGGCTGGGGCTGAAGGCTGTCTGCTCTTGAGAGAAAAAGAATTGCCAAGAGGTCCCCTGCAAGTTCCTGACTTGGAAAGGAACGGGCTGGGAGTATCCGCAGTGCCAAGTTTTGGGGGAAAGACCTGGAGTGCAGGCCTCCCCGAGGCGGCCCCTACTTGACCCCCCCACCCCGCCCTCCAACCAAGGAACCTTGGCCAGCTCTGTCTCCTGAAGACGGCGGATTAGTCAGTCACCTGGGCAGGAGGGGAGGCGGGGATGGCGGGGGTCTGTTTACTCCTATAAAGGTCAGGGCACCGGAAGTGACTCGACCCGGCGGCGCCCGGGAAGCCCGCCCCCCACTCCCCACCCCTGGGTTCTGCCGCCTCCCGAGCTGCGGTGGGGAAGGCACCCGGTCCCACCGAGGCCAAGGCCTGAGCGCGAGGAAGCGGAGCCGGGCCGGGCAGAAACTCACCGTCCTCCAGGGGCTCTGGAAGTTTGTTCGGGAAGAGTCTCTGCGCAGCGTGCTCCCGCCCGAGAGCCTGGAGGGAGAACCGGAGGGGCGTGAGGGGCGGTGGGAGCGCGGGGATCGGGGCCAGCGCCCGGGCAGGGGCGCCCTGCACGCTGGAGACCCCCGGGGCCGAGCGCAGCGGGGTCGGCGGGGCGCGGCGACCCCGGGGGAGGAGCTGGCGCCGGCGGGCGCTCACCTCGGCCCCGACCTCGGCCTCGCCGCCGGTCCCGGCGCCGGTCCCCGGGACCCCCGGGATCCCCGCGCCGCCGGCCGCGCCCTCCGACTCGTTCACGAGCGACGACTTGAGCTCCGCCAGGTCGCGCTCGGGACCCGCGGCGCTGTCGCGGTTCTTGTCGTCCTGCTCCTCGCCCTCATCCTGGAAGGCCAGCAGCTCGTCCGGCGCGCCGAGGTCGTCGCCGCCGCCCGCGCCGCCCCCGCCGGAGTCCAGCTGCGGCATGGTGCGCTCCGCCCGCCGGGGCGCTGGGCGCCGGGAATGAGGGGCGCGGAGCCGGCCCGGGGGGCGGCGAGCCCGGAGTCCGAACCTCCGAGCCCGGATCGCGGCGGGCGGAGCGCGGGCTGACTCCGCCTGGGCGGGCTACAGGCGCGGGCTAGGGCGCGGGGCAGAGCGGCTCCGGGAGCTGGCGGGTCCGAACATCAAAGGCGCCGCCGGCCGAGTGCGGGGCGGGTAGCGGGGGCGGGGCCGGCAGGGGCGGGGACACAGGTCCGCTCCGCCCCTCCTCTCCCGGGAGAGGCCGGGACGCGCCCTCTGGCATAGTCTTAAAGGGCTCGCGTTCCAGGAGCTCACCGCGAGCGAGACGTCCGCCGCGCCTGAGAATCATCACCCTTCTCCCGAAACGCAGACTCTAAAGGCAATTCCTGACCCCACTTACCTACAACCAGATATTAACCCCGCATCCTGCGCCCAGGTTTCCCCTCTGGCTTCGGAGGGCGGGGGTCCCCTAGGCCCTTGGGACTTGGGCGTGGCTTACCACCGCAGCGGTGGTGTGAACTGTATCGTGCCAGGGCTCCAGGGTGCCCTGTGCTTTGAACTGGGGCTTCCTAGAGCTGGCTGCTGCTTGAGGCTGTGCTCCGACCCCAGGGAAACGGCAGCGTTGGGACTCTGCGGCGCTGTCGCGGCTCTTGCCTGGTCCTCTATTCCGCCTGCAAACAGCGCGAACACAAGCATACCCCCTCGCACATTTATTGAGCTCCTGTTGCATGCAGAGCTTATACATCGCACATCTGTGACGGGCCCCTTAGCCAGGCAACGGCTCCGAGCCGCGAACACACAGCCAAGACCATCAGGAGGAAGGACCTAAGCCGATCCTCCAAGCCCCGGCCCCCACGGCTCTCCCAACTTGTTTCCATGACTAGAACCTACAGCCCGGAGACTCGGAGCTTTGGGCAGCCACCTGGGCCGCGGGATTCCGACGTAGGTCCCTCATCAGCAGCAACTCAACCCGAGAAGTCGCATTTAGAAGTTGATCCTGGCCTGACTAACCCTCTAACCCTCGCTCGATCCAGATTGAAGCTTTTAGGTTTGCGGAGCGTGGGAAAGTGCCTAGCTTCTAGCGCATCTGCGTGGCACCCAGCTCTGCGTCCACGCAGGCCTCCGAGGCACGCTTGGCCTGGCTCAGCCACTACATCCACAAAAGACACCGGCCCTTTGGATCGCGATGTAGTCAACCGCAGCCCCCACTAGCATGTTTCTGTGCTGGATTCAGTGTAGACGCTCCCGCCTTTTCTGAGAGCAGTTGGGATAGAGGGTATTTGGAGGAGGGCCGGGTATTGGACACCTCTCCCGCTGAGGGCCCCACAGGACCCCTGGCAGCGGTGCAAAGCCGGGCCGGAAGACAGCCGTGCCTCCCTCGGGTCCATGCTCGGCGTGGCTGGCTGCGGATCAAAGAACCAGGGCCGTGCTTCCCTGTGTTCAGATCCTATCTGCGCCCGCCCAGCAGGGTGCTTCGGATACCACTCCTTCCCTCTCCCCCACCACCTCCGGGCTAGGGTGCCCACTTTTCCTCCTTTCCCCAGGCTGGGACTGGGGGGTGGCATGGCACGAGTGCTCAGCTTGGTGATGGAGATGAGGGAAAGACCCTGCTCATTAGGTCTCCCCAGCCTCCTCCCGGGTTGTGCTTGCCGCTCAGTCTCGCCTCATCTGCTCCAGATTGGCGGGGAAGCAGGAGCTTGGCCCTACCCTGGGGGGAGAGGCACAGGGACGGGCTCAGAGCCTCCCCCACCTCAGCTCCTGAGGTTATAGGGTCTGGCTTGGGGTGAACCTCCTCTGGCACAGCTGAAAGGGAATCCGGATCTGCCTAAGCCAAGAGTTTTAGGGGTCCTCCTATGTTTGCAGGAAACCCTGGTTCGGCAGGCACCTCCTCCAAACAGATGTCCCCAGTCCCATGAGTTCCCCGGACACAGATCGGTGGAGGCTGACATTTTCTCCAGTCCTTGGAGAAAGGAGAGAAGTCAGAACAGTGAGGTTCTTTTTGTTTTGTTTTCTCGATAAGGTTAAAATTTCCAGATTTTAATCAAAGAGTATGACCTTACTGCTTTATTGGTGTGAAAACGTCCTTTCTTCACTAAAACGATGGTAGGAGAAAGAGTGTGTGTGTGTGTGTGTGTGTGTGTGTGTGTGTGTGTGTGTGTGTGTATGTCCTCATTTGGCAAAATAAAATAAGGAAAACATTTTTCCCCATCTGTTAACTCCCCTACCCTCAAATTTCTTTGGACATTTTATAGTCTGGGAACCACTATGGGGTCATAGCTCCAACTCCTCACTCTGCTGGCTGGAACCAGAGGAGGGGGTGGGTGAGTAGGGAGCGCAGGGCTGTGAGGAGGAGTGAGGGAGAGAAGGGCTGAGTCACAGGCATCCACAGCCACACTGAAATCAGTCTGAAGGCTTGCTAAGGGATCATCTACTGTGTTCCTAGCCCTGGCTTGGGCTGTGGAGAGGGAAGGGATAGAGGTGTCCACCTTCCAGGAGCCATTGGCTGCTTTGAGAAGCTGAAGAATTATTAAAGCCTATTTAGGTGTTAGAGTAGTCTATACAGACAGAGAACAGAAAGAGCTCAGAAATGGTGAGATCAATGTGGACTGGAGTAGTCAGGGTGGCTTCCTGAAGGAGGCAGATTTCATGTGGGCCTGGAATGCTCAGGAGGATTTGGAGAGCTGGAAAGGAACAAGAGCTCCAACTGGTTCCCCAGAAGGTGGTGCAGCCCCACAGGAGCCCTTTGTCGCTTCAGCATTGATTCCTTTGCCGCCATCTGCACAGTGACCAACCTCATATACTGAGTGATTACTATGTGCCAGGCATCCTGTCAAGAGCTTCACACAGATTATCTCATTTAATCATCACACCAGCTCTATGACATAGGGATTCGTATCCCCATTTGACTAATGAGGAAACTGAAGCTCAGAGAGGTTAAGTCACCTAAGTTCTCACAGCTTGAAAATGAAGGTGTCAGAATTCGAAACCCAGGCAGTCTGACTCCTGAGCCCACATCCTATCACATTGTAGTATTTCATTATGATCCCTAAAATTCCAGAGGGAGTCCTTGTTTGCTTTGTGGTCTTGGCAGACAAATGCCGATGCATGAGCTGTCACTAATAAGGAGCCCTGACTTTGTGGGTGGCTTATGTTACATGAAAGGGGCCATCAACAGGATTAGGGAATCAGCTTGGTGGTCTGTATAGGGTGGCCCAAGACCTTTGCTGGCAAAGAGGGCCTAGAACCTCTCCCCTGAGCCAGACAGATCTCAGTGTGTACCATCTCTCTCCTGAGCCCACCCGAGGCCATCTCTCCTGGGATTGGCTCAGATCACATTCAGATCACATACAGAAATGATAGACGCCGGGGTTCTTCCACAGGGTTGAGTAGTGAGCGCAGGGCTCACAGGAGTTGGAGCTATGACCTCATAGGACAGTGAGTGGAATCTGCTGTGGTTGCTCCCTCTGGAGGTGACCAGGGAGTTTCAGGACCATGACCAGCTGCAAGGAGGCCCCAAAGTCTTCTGGATTCATCCAGACCAGGCCAGAGCTGGTGAATTAATAAGGCTTCATCATCATGCAAATGAACTTGCATTCCTCAGATGCTGGAAACAGGACTAAGTCAGAACTCACAAGGCCTGAGGGTTGGAGCAAGAGAGCTCCAACTTTAGATTTGGACAATCCTTTTTTTTTTTTTGAGATGGAATCTTTCTCTGTCGCTAGGCTGGAGTGCCGTGGCATGATCTGGGCTCACTGCAACCTCCGCCTCCCGGGTTCAAGTGATTCTCCTGCCTCAGCCTCCCGAGTAGCTGGGATTACAGGCACACACCACTATGCCCAGCTAATTTTTATATTTTTAGTAGAGATGGGTTTTCACCATGTTGACCACGATGGTTTCAATCTCTTGACCTCGTGATCTACCTGCCTCGGGTTCCCAAAGTGATGGGATTACAGGCGTGAGCCACTGTGCCTTGCAATTTGGGCAGTCTTAAGTTCCCGTCCCTGCCCTGCCACTTACTAGCCGTGGGACCCCAGGCAGATCATTGACCCACTCTGAGCCTCAGTCTTCCCTTAGGTGAAATGGGTATCATATGCGGGCCTGCCTTGCTCTGTTAGAGTGCAGTTAAGATGAATCACTGTATCCTAGTGAAGAGCTTAGCACAACGCCTGATGCATTCCAAGTGTCTAATAAATGGGTGCTCTTGAGCGAGATATTTTTCGGAAGTTGTTAGGCTAATTGGCTCTTCATGTAACATCATGTAAATCATCTGAATGTTCTCATGGCCCGAGCCCATTTAATCGTGGCTAAAGCTGAAAATATACATTTCCTTTCCTTTTCTTTCAAGCTCCTTTAACATGAAAGGCCTATGTGAACTCTGACCTTTTCTAACAGGGAGACTCTTAAAATGTGGCATTTCCAGAAAACGGCTCAAAGGAGCCCCAGATGGATTTAGTAAATTACAGCAAGGAGAGGTTGTGAGCGGCGTCTCTTCCTGCTCACCAGCCCGCCTGGTATCCTGTTGGGGCTTGCCCAAAGCCGCCTGGAGGCTGGGCTGCCGGCTCTGGGCAGGAGCACTTCCCATGGAGCATCCTCTCAGGGCAAAACCCGGTCACAGGTCCTTGAGGCAGACTGTGGTTTGTTACTAGAAACACAGTTTGCTTTCTGGAAAGTCTGTGTAGTTTCACTGTGTTTGTTGAGGTGTGTGTGTCCGTGTGTGTGCCTGTGGGTGGTTGTGACCTACAGAAAGGCAAACATACAATTGCTGGGATGCCGCTGCTCTGCATCAGGTACCAGGCAGCTGCTCTTAAAATGAAACAAGGGGGCTTTGGGGTCAGTTCTTTCTTCATAAGGAAGGAAGGACTCTTCTGTGGGCTCTCCTCTCCTGCTCCATCCCTCGGACTTTATGCAATAACCAAGAACTGTTATTAAAATAAAGACTTAATAATGAAATTGGCAGTTCACATTTCCTGATGAAATCTTAAGGAAATTTGGGCAAATTGGCTTGAGAGGTGATGGGTAAATTTTGAGAACAGCTGCCCCAGAGGTTCACAGGGCTTGTTAGGACGGTTTCCCATGGATTGTTTTCCCGAATTGTGCCAGCCATTGTTCCCGATGAACGGGATTGGGGTTCCCTCGCCAGAAGGAAAAATTAGGCTTGAATTTC